CTCCCCACACGGCCCAGGCGGGGGAATGCTCACCTGGCGGGCGTGGCAGGCCTCGCCGCGGTCCCAGCCACAGTCCGTGCCGCAGTGGCCCACGAAGGGCGGGTAGCCGCTCAGCATGATGTAAAGGATGACACCCAGGCTCCACAGGTCGCAGCGTTTGTCGTAGATAGAAGCCTCCTCGTTGAAGGCCTCCACCACTTCGGGGGCCATGTACTCGGCAGAGCCGCACTGCAGAGAGGGAGAGCACAGCAGGGTCACTCCGAGCCGGGCCCACGTCGTCAGGGCTCCAGAGTCCGGCACGGACCCCGCGCGACGCCCCCAGATGCTCCCCGCGCTCCGGCACCTCTTACCATGGGACACAGGGAAACCAAGACCCCAGATCCAGCCCTCACCCCCAAGGCTGGCGCCCCGCCCCAGAACAGCTCCGGAGTGATCAGCAGCGCTTGCAGGCGCGAGCCAACAGCGCAGCACAGGGCTGGCAGGGCTCGAGGGACAACGGGGCAGCAACTCCTCTGGTTACAGTGGGCACCAAAGCCTGCGACCCGCGGACAAGCTACCCAGGGGCAAGTCCACCCACCGACACCCAGGTTAAACGCTGAGGTGGGAGCTGGCGAGGGGTTGTTCCAGCCACAAGGGACCTGGCTAAGCCACAGGGAAGCCCTGCCAGAGGCTAAGAGCAGACGCAGCTCAGAGGGTTGCTCCTGGCAGGCAGACGGCCCGGAAAGGGCGGGCAGCTCCCGCTCCCTGGAGCCAGGCTGAAGAGCCAACGGCTCTGCCGCCCAACGGGCCTCGACTCCACTTCTCGCAACTGGAGTCAAGTGGCAAGGCTTGTACCTCGCCCCTGCTCCCAGGCCTCGCGTACAGCAGATACGGCGCACCTGCCCCCCCTTGCTCCGCCAGCAGGGAGCGCTGCAAACCCAGCCACGCTCATGCACCGGGAGCACCACCGGCACAGCCTGCTGCCGGCCACGCCCCAGGAGGGCGGGCGCCTTGTGTGGGTCCAGCTGAGAGGAGAACCACGACGAGAACCACAAGGGGCCATTCACCAGCTCCCAGGGCCAGGCCACGTCCAGCCCACCTGCCCCCCCTTGCTCCGCCAGCAGGGAGCGCTGCAAACCCAGCCACGCTCATGCACCGGGAGCACCACCGGCACAGCCTGCTGCCGGCCACGCCCCAGGAGGGCGGGCGCCTTGTGTGGGTCCAGCTGAGAGGAGAACCACGACGAGAACCACAAGGGGCCATTCACCAGCTCCCAGGGCCAGGCCACGTCCAGCCAGGGAGGGGGAGGGAGAGGAGAAGTTATTTAAATAACTGACCGGGGGCGTGAAGCCAGCACTTCAAGCCAAGCGAGCGGTGCCCAACAGCCCCTCCGGGAGCGTGGCTTTGGCAGGAGCGGATGACCACGAGCTATAAGCAGACCCATTTTTCCTGGAAGGGCTGCACACAGCCCCTCACTAGCCCCCCCCCCCTCCTCCCCGAGGTCATGACATGCCACTGAAGAGCAGCAAGGAACTCGACAGGACTCGGAGCCAAAGGGAATGACTCCTGCAGCGAAGAGACCCAGGTGCCCTGCAGAGACGGGTCAGTTACATCCCCGGCTGTGCTCAGACGAGCAGCTTCTAAGCCCCACCCCCCGCCCTGTGTGTATTGTAAGGCAGCAGATCCTAGAATAGTCAATATCTAGGGGAGTAATGAATACCTGGCCCTCATCTAGCACCATTCATGAGTGGATCAAAGCACTTGAACAAAATTATCCCCATTTTATTAATAGGGAAACTGAGGCACAGGTGGGGTTAACAGCATCAGGAATAGAACCCCAGGGTTCCAGAATCACAGTCTAGTGCTCCGCCCATTGGACGACACAGCCCCTCTGCACGCAGGCTCCCGCCCCGTCACAACAGTGCCCAAAAGCCTCGCCTCTGCTAGCAATTTCACCAGGAAGGCAAGTGCCCACCCTCATGTTGCAGCACCCGAGGGGAAGCGCCGCGCCCCAGAGACCCAGGCCAGATCTGTCGATGGCTCCTCTCCAGAGTCGACGTCAGCCCCCTCCGCTGCCGGGCTCCACTTTGGCAGCAAGTTCCTATTCTAGAGGCTCCTTCCCTTCATTTTTGTCAAGAGGGAAGCGGGGTGGAGGGTTCTTCCAGGAAACGGGAGCAGCCGGAACGGAACCAAGAGCCTGGCGCCCCTGAAAGCAGGGACCCGACCCCTCCCTCTCTGGAGAGAGGCTGCTGTTTGGCAGCCCTCACCCACTTCCTGTCCCCCAAATCCTGCTCCACCTCCCAACACCAGCAGCCCCCCCAGATGTGAACAGCAGCCAGACCCCCC